ACGCGCCGTCGGCCGCGCCGCCGTCGTCGGCCAGGAGCATGCGCGTGTAGTAGTTGCGGATGTAGTGGCGCACGCAGTGGTGGCCCACGTGGCAGCCGCGCGCCGTCGCGCCGCACTCGCGCGCGCCGTCGCGGAAGATCGCCGCGTCGTAGCGTTTGGACGCGATCTGGTGCTCGAAGGCCTCGGCCTGGCGCGCCCGCGACGCCGCGAGCCAGGCGGGGAAGGCCGCGACGTCGAGGCCGGCGACGCGCGCCTCGCAGGGCTCGAGCGACGCGCCGCAGTCGCACGGCCCGCCGGCCTCGCCGCACCTGCACTGCGGCGCCGCGCCCTCGAAGACGTAGGCGCTGAGGAGCCGCGCCAGGGGCTCCCGGAAGTTCGTGAGGCTGAACGCGGCCGCCCGCGGGCCGGCCCTGAGCGGCGCCCACTCCTCGTGCGTCGGCTTGCAGCCCGCGCGCTTCAGCGCGCCGAGGACCGTCGAGCCGCCGGCCTTGCGGAAGTGGAAGAAGCGCACCGGGTCGAGCGGCTCGCCGGGGAAGAGGGACCCGCCGCCGCCGGGCTTCGCGTCGCGCCCCGCGCGGTCGCCGGGGTCGCCGCGGTCGAAGGGGTCGCGCCGCGCGCGCCGGTCGCCGCGCAGCTCGCGGCCCGCGGGCTCCGCGCCGGGGTCGTCGACGGCCGACATGAGCGGCACGACGGCGGCCATGGCCACGCACGCGAGCGTCGAGCACGACAGGCGCAGCCAGGAGCCCATAATTCACTGCTATGGGCTGCCCATACGCTTCAATTATGTGGCTTGAAGGTCAAGAAACATTAGCACGTTGACGCCTGTCACAAGGCTCTCCGATGTCGAAGGCCATCGAAGCCGTCAGGGCGCCAGCCACCATGGGCGCATATCGATTGCAATGGACATGAGCAACGCGATCTTTATGCAGCGGACGCAGAAATTCGCCGTGCTCGGCCGCCGCGACGGCGAGGAGCAGCACCTGGCGCCCGACTGGTTGCTCAGTCCGCTGCTTTCTGGCTGCTACGAGATGGCGCCGGAGTTCATCCTGAAGACGCAGACGGGCTGGGGACGAGCCATCCGCTATTCGGTCCTCCGGCGCCTCCCGCTTTCCTGGAAGCCCTTCGCGAGCGGCACCGCGGCGACCGCGCGGTGCCTCGAGCTCCCGGCGCGCGTCGGCGGCGGCCGGCGATCCGTGAGGATCTTCGAGTTCCGACCGCCGCGGCGCCGGGCGGCGGCGCTCAAGCGCGACGCGCTCGCGGCCCTCGCGCTCGAGCGCGCGGCCCGGCCGGCCGGCCTCGACGTGTCGAACAACGGCGGCTACCACAGCCGAATCGGCGCCGGCGGGCTCCGGGCCGTCGAGGCCTTCGCCCTGGAGTGCGTCGCCGCCGCGGAGCGGCGCTGCGGCGCGTCCGGCGCGCCGGCCCTCGGCACCGTCGGCGGCGGCAAGCCGGAGATCTGGCTCAACGCGTCGCGCGAGGGCCACTGGAATCGCCTGCACACGCACGAGGGCGCGCTCTGGTCCGGCGTCTTCTACGCGGCCGTGCCGCCGCCGCCGGCCGACGCCGACGCCTGGCGCGCCGACGCGTCGGGGGCGCTGCTGCTGAAGCCGACGCCCCACGCGAAGGAGGAGTCGGGCCGGACGCCGCGAACCGAGGAGCTCGACCGCGCGCCCCTCGCCGCCGCCGGCCCGCCGCGCGTCGCCGGGGACGACGCCTGCGACTACGCGCTGCTGCGGCCCGCGGCGGGCACGGTCCTCCTCTTCCCCGGCCACCTGCACCACGCGGTCCTGCCGCTCTACGGCGGCCGGGAGCGCGTCTCCGTCGCGTTCAACGCGGCGTTTCCGAATTAAACTTACTACGCGTCCTTCGCCGGCTCGGGCGGCGGCGGCGGCTCGACGGACGCGCGCCGGACCGTCGCGTCGAGCTCGCCGGCGGACGTGCCGCCGCCGAGGTCGCCCGCGGCGAGCTCGACCGGGTCCCGGGCGACGGCCGCGTCGTCGCCGCCGCCGTCGCGCGCCATGGCCTGCGCGCGCGGCGGCTCCGCGCCCGGCTCGTCGCCGGGCGGCGTCGCCGCGCCGAACGCGTCGTGGGGCTGGACGAGGCCCGACGCGCGGCGGAAGACGGACGTCCGCGTCGGCGGCGGGTTCCGCGTGCGCGCGTAGTGGAACTCCGACTGCTCGAGGCGCGCGTCGACGTCGTCGCGCGTTTTCGCCAACTTGCGCGCGCAGTGGCAGTCCGCGGCCGCCGGGACCGCGCACGTGCAGGGGCACACGTGGCCGAAGAGGCTCCAGGCGCAGAGCGTGCACCGGGGCCCGCGCCAGCCCTCGGGCTTGCCCTTGAGCTCGCAGCCCGGCCGGTTGTGGTGGAAGTAGGCGTAGTGGCCCAGGAGCGCCGCGGCGAGCGCCTTCATCTTCTCGACGCCGGGCACGGCGATGGTCGCGCCGCCGTCGCCCGGCTCGCCGTCGTGGAAGTCGAGGAGCATCTCGTCGTCGCGCGCCCAGTGGCGCTCGCGGTAGTGGACGAGGCCGCCCCGCGGGAGCAGCGCCGACGGCGACGCCTTGTACTCGAAGGCCGGGTCGCCGCAGCAGCAGCCGCCCCAGCACGTCGGCCCCTCGAGGACGCCGAGCACGTCGCCGCGCCGCGTCCGGAGCTCGAGCATGGGGCTCAGCGGCGACCCGTCGAGCATGAGCTGCTCGAGCGCGTCGGGCTGGAACACGTGGCCGAGGTGGTTCGACGGGTGCGCGTCGAGCCAGAGCCTGGGCAGCAAAAGAGTGATTCAACGTCGCTTCAACTTGAGTGTTCCGCGCGCGCGCGTTCCGGAAAAAGCGCCCACGCTTCGAGGCCATGCCGAAAGATGATCGCTCGTCCAAAAATCAGCCGAAACGAGTGGAAAACGGCCGAGAAAGGAGCCTTTGAAGTTGGGAATTTCGCTCTCTTTTGCTGCCCTGGCCAGAGCGGGTCGCCGGCGTGGAGGCCGTTGTGCACGTAGAGCTCGTGCTGGCAGCGGTAGCCGCAGGGGCAGCAGAAGAGGCAGGGCTTGGGCCCGCCCCAGGAGACCTCCGGGTCGCCGACGGAGTTCGCCGCGCAGCGGCCGCAGCACGCGGGCCCGGGCCGGACGTCGCGGAGGGGCCGCCCGCCGCCGGTGTGCGGCCCGCCGCGCGGCGCCGACGCGCAGCAGCCCTCCATGCCCGGCCGCTCGAGCGTCAGGAAGACCTCGCGCGTCGACGGGTGCTCGACGTGGAGCAGGAGGCTGTGGTGCGGCCGGAAGCAGACGCGGTTCCACGTCTTCGACGACTCCGTCACGACGAAGAGGCGCCGCTCGTCGCCGCCCTGCTCCGGGGACCCGTAAACATCGAAGACGTTCGACGCCTCCATGGCGTCGCGGTGCTCGAAGAGCAGCCGGCGGGAGATTCGGTAGCGCCGCATCTTGTCGAGCGTGTGGATCACGTAGTGCTCGCCGTGGTTGTGCCGCGGGTAGGGGTCCGGGTACCAGCCCGGCGCGCGGGGCGGCTCGACGACGGCGGCGGCGAAGGCCTCGGGCGCCTCGACGTCGCCGGCGTCGGCGGCGTCGGGCGGCGGCGCGGCGCCGGGCGCGTCCGCCGCCGCCGCGCTCCTCTTCCGGTGCCGCTTGCTCCGGTGGCGGTGGATCTTGCGCCGCTCCTCGCCCCACAAAAACTCGGAGCCGGCGCGCCGCAGGCCCTGGAACGCCGACTCGCCCGCCGCGTCGCCCTTGCCGCGCCGCTTGCCCCGGCGCCGCGACGACCCGGACCGCTGCAGGTCGGGCCGGGACTCGGCCTCGCGCGCGAAGACCGCGCTGTCGAAGGCCGCGGCGACGTCCGGCAGCTCGGGCACGACGAGGCCCTGCGACGCGTCCTCCTTGCGCTCCTCGCGCCGCGCCGCGGACTCGTCGAACTCGGAGGCGCAGGCGCAGGCGAGCATGGACATGCGCGAGCTCATGGTCTCGTCGCTGCAGCTGTAGAGCGTCGGTGGCGCCGCATCCGGGCCGCGCGGCGGCTCGTCGGCCATGGCGCGGCCCAGAACCGACGGCGGCGGTCGGGGCTGCCTCGGCGGATGGCGTTTCCAAATCCACTTCATCAATTCTTCAATGTCGACGGCAACACCACCGGGTTGCTTCCCCTTGCTTCCCCGCGGCCCGCCGCGGCGCGAAAGCCACGCGTCGCCGCCGCCGCCGCCGGAGCCCCCCGACGGGACATGTGAATAAAGGGCGCTTGGACATCTCGCAGGCTGCGTCTTGTTAGCAGAACCCGGGCTGCAGCGGCGCGGCGGGGATCCCGCGCTGGACCAGCCTGCACCGGTGGCGGAGGAGGCGCGCGAGGACCGCGTCGTCGTCGCCGAGGTCCGGCCCGACGTAGAGCGCCTCGGCCGCGGCCGCGGCCCGGGGCCAGAGCGCCAGGTTCGCGTCGCCGCCGTCGGCGCGCTCGCCCCAGAGGCACGCCTCCGCGCCGAGGACGCGCGACGCCTCCGCCGGGTCCGTGACGTTGAAGTAGCCCCGCGACGACGCGTTTCGCGTCGCCGACGACCGCGGGTGGACGTCGTAGAACGCGCGCCAGTCGCCGTGGTCCGCGTCGCTGCCCAGGTAGAGGCCGAGCGTCGACACGACGTCGAAGCCCCGAGCGGCCATGGACGCGGGGTTGCCCCAGCCCCACGACGGCGCGAGCCACGCGTAGATCGCCGTCCCGGGGTCGAGGCCGGCGACGGGCGGCGTCGGCGTCGTCGCGTCGTCGCCGCCGTAGTGGTCGAAGATCTCCTGCCACCCCCCGAGCTTCTCGAAGCCCGCGGCCCGGGCGAGCCGCTGCGCGCGCACGACGAAGTCGCGGGGATCCTCAGA